CACCTTTACCTGCATATGTAGAGGGGGCCTAAGTTCATTGTTTAAAAGACGCATTGCTCAGGCTTTCAAGTTAGGTTTTTACTGTGTGCTGTAAGCTGTGTGACCTAAACAAGCAAACTTCATGGAATATGTTGCCTGGGGTAAGGTTTGTATTAATATCATCAGTATTAAGTGCAAAGGTGCTCTGGAGATTTGAAAATTCAGAACCTTTTACGTGAAGTCCATGCGACCGTATGCAACTTAACCACTTTGTGCCAGTTTCTGTGTTCTTTGGTTCAGTATTGACTGCAGGCATAATGAAGAGGGCTGTCTGTCCGTTGGACTCTAATTTGAGCTGTGCCACAGCTGTTGTAAACCACCAGTTTGAATTGTGCAAAAGTTGAAGGTGCTGCATACAGAGGAAGGAAATATCATTTGGGATCAAGTTGTGTCCTCCTTTGAGCGAGAGGGCATGGAGCAAATTGGAATCCTGTAAAATGTACATATTGAATAAAACCTGGAAGCTGGTGAACCTAAGCTGTATGTTAGAAACCTACTGAATGTCCGACATGGTTTTTTCTCCACTATCAGAGTGAGTTTTCTAGGCCACTGAATTAATGGAGCTTTCCCCTGTAGCTGAGACTCTTCAAGCCCTCTTGAGTCGCACTATTGAGTAAAATAGCAAAGAGGAAAAACCTTTCGATACGGTGGATGCTTTAGCTCAAAGTAATAGACTCAACAGAAATGTTGCTGATTGAAAACCGTATGGAATGGAGTAAGGATTGCCAGAAGCTTTATTTTAGAAATAGCTAGTCTTTTAAGACAGAACAAAGATGAAAATATTTACTTGTGTGAAAAACACTTCATCAGAAAGGCTTTACTTATTTGAAACTGCACCGTGTACATCTGGAGAGATGGCAATGAATTCAAAATGTGTTCTGCTGGGAGTTTCCGTTGTGGGAAGAGTACCTTTTTCCAACAGAATGTGAGTTTTCTTCTTGAAGGGACTCTGTGTTACTCGATACTGGTGTACAACAGTGGTTCTCAACCTTTTGCTCCTGTGGGCCGCATGAATGACACATGGCTGGTCTGTGGCTGGATCAGCAGGGCGGGCCCTGTGCTGCCTGAACCCTGTTTTGCACTGCCTGGATCAGACCCTGACTCGCACTGTGTCCCACCGCATGTGCCCAGATCGGGCACCGAGCTGCCCCAACCTAGCACATAGGAGTCTGGAAATTTAGCAGCAGGGGAGTGGGCATTAAAGCTGCCACTGCACCACTGCTGCCAAATTTTTGGACTCATGGGAAGCCCTGTGGCTGGGTGACACAGCTCTGCAGGCCAGAGATTGAGCACCCCTGGTTTAGACTCTTTCCTTTTTATCTAGAGGCCTGTTTTGTTCTTTGAAACCTCAGGACTTCTTTAGTGCAAACAGATTGTCAGCCTTGTTGCATACAGTCGTGATTACCTGCAGGAACTCTGCTGATTGTTCAGTTGCCTCATACAACTACTGCAGCGATTGGGATTTTGAATTTATGGTGATGATGAATTTGGGCCATGATTAAGCAGGACTAATAAGAGCTTTTTCTTTGTTTCCTAGTTCAGAGGAACTTCCTGTCCACGATGTAGCAATAGAAAAGGTAAGTTTAATGACTTTCTAGCTCTATAAAACTGACGTGTTTATAATAGTGGGGGTCAACCATTTTGCCACAAATTATCCCCACGCTCTCTGAGTGCCACTCTGATTCCCTTCCTGTGCCTAATCTGCTTACCTTTCCTGTTTTCTGCCCTCTATTTCCTGCCCAGTCTGCAGATCTGCTTTCTGCTCCCTAGCTGATTTGCTGCTCTGCTTTCTGTGTCCTGCCTCTGCTGCACTCTGTCCACTCTCTGACATGCTGTATGCCACACACTCAGGTTGGCACACATGCAGCAGGACGGCCACTCTGATTTATAATATTGCTGTAGACCTGGGGGTATTGAGTTACATTTTCTGATTTTCTTGTCCATGGCAGCACATTCTTTGGGGATACAAGTCTTATTAAAATCACACATTGGGTTATACTGCACTTGTGTTCATGTAGGCTGGGTGCTCTCCCAGGAACCACTGACACCTCTCTTGGGTCACCCAGGAAAATTTCATACTTATTATTATTGTTTCCAGGCTCTTCTGACTAGGTTGAATTAAGTTCAGATTTGTCCTCTTGCTTCATGTTACCGCATCATCGAAAGATAATTCTCATGAAATGTTTCAAGATGCACTTGCCTCTCTCTTCCTCCCCCCCCCAGTTCAATTGCTTTTTATTAATTAACACCCTCTATTGCTGTCTTTGTTGACTTCTTTGCCATTCAAATTATCTTTTTGTGCATGGAGTGGGAGTAGTTGATTTGGTTTAAACAAAGGATCTAATAGCGTTTAACAACTGTTTCTTTTGGGAAAGATGTGGGTCACCAGGAGAAGCTGACAAAGATCAAAGTAGGGCTAGAGAGGTGGCAGTGCTTCTGTTAAAAGATGAAGGATTCCTGAGTGTGGGTTTTTTTTTTTAATGAACTCCTTGGTCCTTCTTAGTTTTTTAAAAGTTTTTTTTCTGAAGTTGCATTGAGTTTTCCTGTTCCACTTTGCTTAATAGCGCACTGATTATATATATATATTGTTTCATTTTCATTGGAAAGACCCAGCAGGGTGTTGAGGCATGAATGTTCACTGGTCAAACGTGAGACAATTTTCAGTTACTTTTCATTATTATTTATGGTACTCAAAGCTCTGATTTACATGAGATATGTATTCATCTGTAACTCACCGAGTGAAAATAGTGACTTTGTCTCAAATTTCATTAAAGCTATACTGGACAGGACAACTGCAAAGGATTTGTGTTTATTGAATCATTTTACTTTCCAATGTTCACTTGCAAATGTATTGCTTTAAATAAGTGCAGTATATCCTTTTTTACATTTTGGTGATATCCTGACCTCTACTGGCCTGAGGCTTACGTATTACTTCTGTTAATAGTGGATGGATCTTTTCTGTAGTTTCCATAGGACAGTTAATATGTTCTTTAATTGTAGGCTAATAATAAAGAAAATCCAAAGTTTTGGGGGGCACTAACTTTTTAGCTCAGTTATTTGACAGTGAGGGACTGCATAGGGTTCTTTTCTGCTCTTGTGTGATGTCAAGAAACAAGGATCAGTGATATTTTCATCCAATTCATAGTTACATGTAGCAAGGCATTTACTCACCTATTCAGTCACAATCTCTTTTCCCTTCAATCATTGTCCTCCCTACGCATTCTAGTGCACAGCCGAAATTGCATTTCTGCGTGCACCTAAAATGTAAAATGCTTTAGAAGGGAGATAGTGTGAATCCAGAATCACTATTTTTTACGTTTCCATAAGGTAGCTACCAGGTTATTTAAACAGCCCAAACCCCGTGATCTAAACTAATTAAACTTCATATGAATTGTGCAATGTTCTTAATGTAATGTAAAATTAGGGCACTAAGCTGTGAGTCAGGAGACAGGGATTCTCTAGCCAGCTCTGCCTCCTGTGCTGTGCCACCTTGTACAAGTCACTTCACCTCTCTGTGTTTAATTTCTCCTCTTTATTTAGGTTGTAAATTCTTCCACCTAAGAGTTTCTCTTATTGTGTTGATACGGCATATTTCACACTGGGTTCCTGAAGTTGCTTGGGTCTTCCACCAAAGGCATTTCTCAAGCTTTCTACTCTAGGTCTGCAATATAAAGGAAAGCTATACACCGAGTGGACCTTTGCTAGCTAAATTTCATGTCTTTACCTTTCAAATTATTACTTTTATTTCTTTAAGTTCCAGTAAGACACTCTCTCAGGTTCAGTTTGGGGTTTTTTTTTTATTCCCGAAGTTTAAAATCAACTGCATAAGGCAGAATGAGGGATCTTTTTTGAGATTACCATGTGGGGTCTGGCTTGTCTGAGGGAACAGCATCATCCATCTTCCCTGCAGCCCACAATACATTGTCTGTTAGACATGAAAGGGAATGTCCCTCGGCTTATGAAAAAAGTCAGGGGAAAAAAACCTATTCAAAAGCTGAACTGAATTGATATTTTTGATAAATGAAGCTCCTGAGAACCAGGATAGATGGATGTAGGAGACAAGAGATCTGAATGAGCCTTGACCTGAAATGTTTTCCTAGCTGAAAAGGTAGGAGATCTTCAAAATAGATCCTAAAGTCCAGCATCAAGGATGAGAGTCAAATGGGATTTTATTTTTCCTGACGGTTAATGGAATAACCCATGTCTTTGCAGCACTGGAAACTTTGTATGCATGTTGGTCCTTCAGTTGAAGCTATACCCACAGAAATCAATACACAGAACCCTGGCGCTGGGATATTAAAATTGGGTACTGTAGCTTTTCCATCTGGCCTGAAAACATTTAAGAGCAGTGATTTTAAACTTAAAAAAAGTAGAAGGCAACAACTTTTCTACAAGTATAAAAATAGAAGGCAGCAACTTCCCTTTTAAGCTAAAAGCTACATATAATAGGTAACAAGAACCTATTTGAAAGTCGAAGATGCCAGTAACTGCCTAGAAAACTTCACAAAGATTCCTTAAGCGTGGCATGAAACTCCACAAAAACCTCAGGGCAATTAATTGCAACTTGAAAAGTCAGATATGGAAGGCTGACAGTAAAAATACCTTATTCCATACAGTGCTAGTCGGAGCCGATACTTTAAAATGCGCACACAATTGTCACGTTATGATAACGTTCATATATTTATTGTGACCACGCTTTTCACTGTCGTTATTATGGAAAAAGCTCTTTAGCCACCACTTTGCTTCCTAATGCTTTCTGTTGGCTTTCCAGGCCTGTAGTTGTATCTACCTGTTTTACTCGTACATAAATTCTGCTTATCAGAACTTAACTGTTGTCTGAGAAGTAAGTACAAATTCATACAGAGTCGACAGTAGGAGCACATTTATGACATTACAGATAAACATATTAAAATAAAACCAGTGTTTTATTATACAAGCACATACATATTTTTTTCTAATGCTGTCATAAAGGTTTCTTTCTTAATATCAAACTTTGACTAACGATACCTTGCCTTCATAGGTGAGAGTCTGAACCTGAGAAAATTATTCTAATGCACATCGTGTTTCTGCTCTATTACAGTGTCCTGAAATGCTATAAAATCACTGTTATGGTTTCTGTCTGGCAGCAGCCTTGTAGAGCGATGCTGTCATTAGCCTACACAGTGGCACTTAAGTGTCTCACACGCCCTGTGTGGCAATTACCTATATGCTGTAATTTAGGAAAATGCTTGTGTAAGAATATGGAAGCTTTGTGTGTGAACCTTAAGCCTTTTGTGCCATTGGGTATGGCTCTTAAAGGCATTTCTGAAATAGTCAGCCCTCTGGTAGGATAAGGTTTTTTTTGTATAATATGATAACTCAGTAGCTGTCATAGCTGTAAGAGATCAGATACAGGCATCAGACTGTTCCTGCTTCCAGGCTTAGACCAGATGGATGGAGGTAAAAATAACTGCTTTAAAACCAAGTTCCATTCCAGGACACTTCATGGACAGTATTGTGGAATTAAAGGTGGAGAAGAACTGTAACATCATTGAGCTATATGTATGCTAGCTCAGGCTTATTCCTTTCAGGGCGTTGAGTTAGGCAAGTGCTTTTTCCATTCTCCCATGTTGACGAGGCAGAAGGAATACACACAATCTGTTGGAAAATAGATGGTGGCAACTCGTAAAATTAGAATTTCCATTTGACATCAAGTAGTAATTTTCATTAATATTTTTTCTGCAACTTTTCTTCAAAGTCACAGTTAATGGAAGCATTAATCAGTTTTCAGTGTCCTGCAGAGCTTTGAAATTAAACTCCCTTATACCATCTGCAAAGTTGCATCGCTACCCATATATAATAGAATATGCTTGAATGTCTTATCAAGATCTGAGGTCAGAGGTGTAGGACAGCGTTTTATCAAAAAGCAAAATCTCTCCCACGTTTCTTTCTGAAGAGAAAGCCAGAAACAATAAACTTGAATGTTTTCCCCTTTTGTTTTGACTTTTTTTTTTTTTTTAGAACTGATTCTCAGCCCGGGCGACTTACAACAGTGAAAACCCTGCAGTATTTCTTGCAAAAGTTAAACCAGTTACAGGGCTAATGGACTACCAATGCCAACAGTAGACAACCCACCCACTTCACAGCAGCACCGCATACAGTGTTCCCACCTCCTCAGTCAGCTTTCTACCTGAATGAGAGAGAAAAATGTGGGCATCGTTGAATACCTAAGATGTGTAACTCTGGAGGACCACATTTGATAGCAAATTACAGAGCCTAAGAGCTTCACTGAAAGTGTCTGCCTTGCAGACCTACTCTATATGTTGGGTGCTGATTTACAGCTGTGATAGAATTGCATGGGCAAGGTGACAGTTCCTCGAGTAACTAGGTCACATTCAATTAAGGGCTGTATGCATGACATTTTGGTATGTACCCTAGCATGTGGTTTTACATGGGTAGGCCTGCACAGTTAATGGCTGAGCCAACATGAGATAACTTGTCCTAGTTCTTGACCTGAATGCAATGTAGCCACACTAATGTTTCTCAGCGCTTTCTGCTTTGGAAGCTGCTTTTGCACAAAGCTAGTACACAGTGTCTTAGCTGGCAGTGTCTGGCACCATATAGGCACGTACCTACACATCCATGTACAACCAGATGGTAATATGCCCCTCAGCATGACAGAGCATCATGCCTGCTATCGGATTGTGGTAGAAGATAATTGCCTAATATTATTTTTTGTTTTGAATCACTTTTAGAAATTTCTAGAATAGATCTCTTAAAGGAATCAGGCTTGAAAGAATATTGACATATACTTTTATTTCAGCAAAAGCACCTTGAAATTGAAAGAACCGCAAAATGGCTGAAAATGGTGAAAAGCTGGGAGAAATACAAGAACAGTGAGAAGGTAAAGTCATGCATGGTTGTGATCAGTTATCCTGTTGGGTATAACACTTAAATAAAGTATGGTGATTTTCCCCTAATATATAGTCAGAAAAATACAATTCAAAAGCTCTCTCTCTCTTTTTTTTTTTTTTTAATTGCATGGTATGGCAATATGTAACAAACTAATAAAGACATTTGTTCTAATAAAGAGATTTTTATGCACAGTATTTATTGTATGGGCCACGTGACATATTCCGAACTATAATCATGTATGAAGTCCAGTACTGCATTATTGTCATGGAGTAGGATTGAAGAGCCATACACAGTTATGTCTGTGTAGCCTAATTTCTGAAGTGCAAGAGGTACTGTATGTGGCAAGATGAGTAGGTAAACAAGGAGTGAGCTACTAGTCTTTAGCCAGGAAGACTAGGAAGGTAGCTGGTCTGGTAAGTTCAAACGCAGCTACATTTGATGTACATTTTAAAATGCTTTCATAGACTTGAGCAGAGGGAAGCTGAATCCAAAAATCTAAACTCCGGAGGGGGGAAAAAAATCGCCTTGGCACATTGTAGAGCTATAAAAATAGAGTGCTATGGGGGCATCTTTGGAGGGTCATAGTAGAGCATGGTGCGATGCAGGAGTTGAGAGATCCACTGCAGCACTACACATAATAGTACAGACATTATATGAAGCATTACAAAATATATTGCTACAGGTAGGTTTTGTTTTTGTAGCACTTGTTTAATTTTGTGGCACTGCAGGGGGCATGAACATTTGTCCCATCAGCTTTTCTAGTGCCGTAAAGGCATTTGTAGCATTAGAAATGTCCATGAGATATGGGCAGGAATATGTCTCACGAGATCTGCTGGCTCTTAAATGTCAGATCTTTTATTCTTTATGTAATGTTCATTAGGTATTCATGTAGACAAACAGCCCTCCTTTTTCAGGCAAGGGTTTGTAGAATGGGCTAAGACAACCCCCGTTACTAGTGCAATAAAATTGGTTTAGGTAACTGCCCAAGGAATCTGACCATTCATAAATTGTGATATGCAACTGGATATTAAGTGAGCCTGTCCGTTAAGTGGTCCCTTAAGTTCTGTGATCGTGTTGTGTTAAGAGTGGGGATGCAATAGAATAAGTTGTAATATAACAAGAAAGGAAAATGCACCTCTAAATACAGTTTAATTATTTCCCTTGTTGTGATTTCATTTTCCTGAGTGGAATAGGATTTTTGGCACCTTGACCTTTACAAAGGGAGATCCTTTTTATGGTGCATGTGGTATCTATTTCAAGAGTGTTTCTTGCATCTTGGTGCACTAGTTTTGATAAATTAGTATGTAAGAATCACGTCATTATTTCCTGAAATGCCAGTGGCAGTTATTCAACAGTGTACAGCAGTGCTACACAGCAGCTCAGGACAAAGTGAAGAAAATCAGTCTAGCTTGATGCTACAGGGAGTTCTAAGTAGGTGGAATGATCCATTTTGTATTTAGTTCAGGATTCTGATGTTAATATCACTAAAGCTCTTGAAAATTGCTGTAGGATTTTTAATAACTCTGAGGCCAGCTCCAGACATACAGGCATGCACGATCTGCGGCATGGCAAACATTTGTGGCGGCACAAACTGCACACATTGCACGTTAAACCATGCTGGGGCAAAATTTGCTACCAGAATTTCCTGGTAGCAAAAAAACAACAACAACAAAAACAAAAAAACAAACAACAACAACAAAAAAACAAAACAACCCCCCCCCCCCCTAAAAAAAGGTGGTGCAAAGCGCACGAAAGCAGTGTGCGCTGGGACAAATGCAGAGATGGAAGAGTAGGCAGTCCTGGCTGCTTCCCTGTCTCTGTGTGCCTCGTCGCAGGGGCTCCACTGCAGAGCCCCCATACTGAGACACTTGGAGACAGGGGAGCAGGCAGCCCTCCACATACCACTCCCTGGCTGGCTGGGGCACAGGGTGACTCAGTGTGGGGGCTGCCTGCCAGCTAGCCCTGCACTCAGGCACCTTTTGCCCCAGACAGCTCCCCCCTGCAGCACATGGAGCAGTGGGACAATGTGTCCTGCTGCAAAGTGCACAGGCAGGGGTGTGTGCTGTGGCACAATGTGCGCCACTACTATTTGTGCTCTGCCGACGCATGCCCCTGCTCATGTAGATGAAGCCTAAGTGATTAGAAACTTATATATCAACTGTCCTGAGAGGTGATGAGTGAGGTGTTAGTTGTACATAATTATTTGTGAAATGTCTGTTGCATATAGGGAGACTGATAGGATATTGGACCTGGAGTCAAGAAACCTGTATTTGCCTGTCCTCTGGTTTTGAACAGCTCCTTAGTCCCCATAAGGCTGTGTAAGACTTGGATCCTTGGTCTTGGTCTGCTGCAGTAAACCACCCCTGAACTCTCACTGCACCCCTACCTTCTTTTTCCTGAGTAAGTGGCTGGGAAGGGTTAGAAAAAGGCTGAACATGAGGCAGAGCTGTAGCTGTGCCCCTCAACTGGCAAGAGCTGACGTTTCTGTGAGCAAAGAAGTAAGCTGCAAACTTTTTGCAGCTGCAGTACACTCTGATCCTCATGTCTTCCCACAGTTGTTGCTGGGAACAACTGCCCAGGCAGCCCTGCTGCCTAGGCATGCCGGCCCAGCCACCTTGCACCCAATGCAGGAGCAGGACACACATAGGCAGGGCTTGCAGCTGGGTGGATGGGTTGGGGCGGGGCTGCGGGCAGGTGGGGAGTGGCATCTGGGAGCAGGATGGGTGGGCAGAGCTGGCGTCATGGGGTAAGATCATGGGGCGATGACAGCACAGGGCCAGGGCTGGGGTAGAGCCATCATCCCCCGCATACACATCCCTGCAACTGGTGCTGGTTCCATGCTGTCACCACCCCAAGATCCTGGCTCCGGCCGTGCCCACTTGTCTAACTCCTGGATGCAGCTCCCCACTTGCAGGCTTGTCCTGACTTCGCGCCCTGACCATGCGGGTCCCAGCAGGTCTCCATGTAGACCCCAGGATCACAGGGCCTGACAGCACGGGGCCGAGCCCCAGGGCAGAGCTGCAACCTGCTCCCTGCATGCCTCGGCCTGCGGATCTGTCACCTATTGCAGGGCCATGCTGGGAGCAGATTGTGGCTCTGCCCTGGGCTTCAGGCTGTCATGGCCCTGCAAGCTGTGCCTGCCTATCCCACTCCCAGATGCCACTCCCTGCCTGACGTTGGCCCAATCCCAGATACCTGGCCAAGTGCAGAGCCACTTAGGGAGTTTTGGTGAGCTGTTGCAGGGGAAGGGGGTGCTGACTTGGCCTTTGACAGCTCACCAAAACTCCCTAAGTAGCTCTTGGGCCCTAATAATCACCCACCCCATGTAAAGCTATGGTAGGGCTGTCCAACTGCTGAGTGACTGGGGGCTGCAGGCCTTTCTCACCCAGCTCTTGTATCATGCTCTCATATGTGCACACACTTGCTCACTCCCTAAATGAAGATCAGCCAGGCGTTCAGCCAGG